TAGTAGTTTCACCTGCACACACACAGACACACACACACACGAGCACAAAAACATACTCGCTGCAGACTATGGATGGATACACATATAAGCCAAGAAGAGTTGTTAGTGTTTTTTCAAATAACAACTTTTGATTTTCTTTCAAAAATAATCTTAGTGTGGTTATTTACGCATAAGTGATAAGATTATTATTATTATGATTATTCAGGTTTCTTTTTTTTCTATATGAATTAATCGATTTCAAATGGGTAAAAAATCGCAAACCTCTAAAACTGTGCCCCAAAATATCGTAACAGTGCTCACTAGTGACTACTAGCTTCGTGAGGAAATTCTCGGAGTTCTAGTTGAGAAGACGTGACTAATGGAGGAGTTCAACCCTGTCGGGTGTAGGCAGTAACTACCAAAAAGACAAATGGGTGAGGTCACGCAAAATCCCTAGATCAATTAGAGTTAGATATTAACACCGTTGGATGCCGGCCCAGTGGTCCGATGGTAAGGCGTTCGCCTACAATGCCAAAGGTCCCGGGTTCAAATCCTGCGAGGAGCAGGAGTCGTGGATGCGCACTGCCACTGATGAGTCCCATACCAGGACGAAACGGACGTCTTTCAGTGCTTCCAGGTGTCTAAAGGTGATCTAACAATGATTGATTGATGATTTCAAATGTGTAAAAACGCAAAACTCCAAAACTGTGCCCCAAAATTAATCGATTGTCAAGTCTAGATGTACGTACATATAATCACCTGAACTGACACAGGAAACGACTACACAGATCTCATTCTAAACTACAGCGATAACAATCCAAGAACTCATGAAATCAATCGATGAGTATAAAATTTTGTTGAAGAGAGAGACAAAAGAAACAATGTAGCACACAGGAAACCACGAAAAATAACGAAGAAAAAAAAGTAGCTGATGACTAGCTTTCCGAAAAAGAAACGGCTATCTACGCAACTTCATTAAAACCAAAGTACAAAGAAGAAAAACCAAAATACTACTGTTAGAATATTCATCAAACATCTCAAAGGAATTATTCTGTTAGTGTAATTCTATTGGTCAATTCCAATTGGTTAATTCCTATTGGTCGTTCTAACTATCAATGTCACATACTTGAAATGTTGCCTCCTATTGGTCATCTAACTATCAATGTCAAATACTTCAAATGTTGTTTCTTATTCAAGCTAATTGTATAAATATACATTGTCTGTAACGTCTTATGATCCGAGTCCTTATTCTCTTCTGGACTCGAACAGCGTATTTTCTGGGTGCTTGTAGAATATACTCTCTACTCCATATAAACACTTTTATTTAATGGGGAGGTGGGTTTGAGACGTTCGTATTAGAGTAGCCTGTCATGTCACCGGACCATCGATTCTCACTCTCGTTTATCGACTAAGGTGAACTCGTAATAGTTCAAGTATAGTAACTGACGTGGTGACGTGCGTTCTTAACACTCCATTGGAAAAAGTGGACCTCATCTTCAGCTTCGTCTGTGTGAACATCAATTAGCCGTCAAACACCATGAAATTTTTTTGCCGATATCAATACATACGGACAACTATGGACATACGTTCGATTGGAACAATGTGAAAATACTGGATAGAGGTATTACGAAGAACACTTGAGACTATTTATAAACTTGGCACTCAAGTCAATCGGCAATCAGTAAACACATCGACAATGATCCTATTTACCAACTAGTCAGAAAAATAATAGACAAACATAGGATTAAGAAACAGATCAAAAGAGGGATACAATCAAAATAAAGGCGCAGACAACGACCGGTTTAAGGTCAACATTAACCAATCAAGATCGAGGTTAACAAAACAAGCTACAGGTCAACTGAAATGTAATCAGATACACAGACAGACAGATACAACGCAGAACTTGGTATATAAGTACATCAGTTTAGGTTGCCATACCATACCACGTCGGCACAGAGACGTAACTGTCAGTTCAAATCCAAGAGTGATAGCGATAGTAGAAGAATCAGCAGTAATGGAGAGCGACGATCTGAAATGTAATCATCACATAATATTTATTGCAAAATTTAACATAAATAATAACATAATTACAAATAACAATAGTGTATTTTACCGCTATCATCAACAGGATGTACACGTCGACGTCGATCTGAGATTACAGATAAACCCATATTGTTAGGAATATTTCCATTGTTATGATTAGAATAATGATGAATATAATCGGTTTGATTGAAATTTGATCGACCAATTAAATCATCATTCGATGGTCGGTCATTTTGATATGAATGTTGATGCTGAGTCAGAGAAGAAGGAGGAGGAGGAGGATATTGATGATCAGGACTACTATCTAAGCCTAAACGTCGATCAACATATGGATCAGGAGTATGTGCACGTATATGTGAAGAACTACTATTTGAAGAGATACTATTGCCACCTGTACTACCGGAAGTATGATGATGATGATGGCAACCAATTCGGGAAGACAGCTGTAGAAGAGATTGAATTGAAAACAAAGTAGATCAATGAGTATCATTATAATTATTGATGAGATTGAAACAGACTGGTAGGTGGTAATTGTACTAACATTAGTCAGGGTATACTTGAAAACAAGAGGGTACTAAAAAGTGTTTCATTCTGTTGTGGTGCGTGCTACTTATAAGTAGTATATGACGCGAGTAAAAACATCATGTCTGGCAGCAGAAGATGGAGGAAGATCAAGAAAGGAAGGGCGGGAAAACAATGGGATTTGTATGAAACGCATGAACAGTGAAATGTCAAACAATGGATTGATGTTTTGCAACAGGAACAGTCCAGTTCGATATGATGGATTGATATTTTGTAAATTAACGATTTACGATATAGTTCTCCGATTTTACCAATTAACACTGTAATTTGTGATAGATACAATTCGGTTGCCCTCACCTGTGTTCTCCTTCACTACACTGGTAGAAGACTCTTTATGGCTCACTGCCAAGAACCCAACGATTAGAATTTCCAATCGTAAACATAGAACTTGTGCCACACCAAGTCAGCATAGTGAGACGCCTGAGTATTAATTAGTGTTAGTAATAATGGAGAAGAGTTGGCACAGAAAAATATGGATTTTTTGAAGCAAAAAAATGTCTAACATAATTTCGAAACTTAAGATCTAAGAGAAGATAAAAAGTGGACAACACTATTTTATTGTGACTAATTTCCAGCCATGTCAGTATTCAGGGTCTTATATCATTGTTTACTACTATAATCGTACGAACCACAATCAAATAGTCTGTAGTTAATCTACATCAGTTGAGGCGGTTGAGACACATGTGTTACGTATGCCGAACAAACGACTACCTCGACAAGAGATATCGTCTAATGTACGGGTCAGGTAGAAAGAAAGATGGGGGCGGTCAAACAAAAACATGGCACACATCCATGAAGTCAGTTACAAGTGGATTGAGTCATGTTGGTAAGTGCAGAATACCTGGTTGGGGTTCTCAAGACAATAGTAACCGATGGTTAGAGATTTTGAATGACGTGGCCTTAACGTTTGTAATTGCGCAGATGCATTCACCCCTTGTGTTCTTTGAAATTCTAATCTGAATTCCGCATCACCTTTATGTTTCCTTTTTAAAGTTTATTTCATAAGATTATACTTCTTGAATAACATATTCGAACCCTAATCACTTCGATTACTGCTATTACTTGTACTACCTCTGTAGTGAAAGAGAACACAGGTGGGGCAATCGAATTGTATTTAACGAAAATTACAGAGTTACTCAGTAAAATAGGAAAACCATATCGTAAATTGTTCATTTGCAAAATAACAGTTCATCATATCGAACTGGACTGTTGCTGTTGCAAAATATCAATCCATTGTCACTATTCATGCGTTTCATACAAATTCCATTGTTTTCTAACTCTTTCTTTCTTGATCTCCCCCATCTTCTGCTGCCAGACATTACGTTGACACTCACATTATATACTACTTATAAGTAGCTCGCACCACAGCACCACACCTCTACTACTTTGGGATTTGGATCGAAAATTATATCTCTGTGCTAATGTGTTGAGGCAACTTGAGCTGATGTACTCAGGTACGAAGTGATACACATTAAGCCAGTCAGAAATCAGTAAGCGATAAGTACACGTGATTGGTCGAGAAATAGAGCTTACACTTTCGAGGGATACGATATCAACCACCGATTGGCTTGATTTTTATTTTCAAGTCACAGTGTGTTAACTCATCTTAGAATAATAATGACATCTACCGATTGTTGTAGGGAAGAATGTCAGGGAAAACATGAAGTAATCGATGTATATGAAGGTCATAAACCGAAATACCTACAAACTTATTCCAAATGATTGCAAAGTACGTTCAGCTAAGCGCACGTCATAAATATTTTTCGTTCATATACATACAACAGACATGTCAATCATTCATTTCATCCTGGTATGGGGCTCATCGACAGTGAGCATCCACGACTCCTGCACCCCGCATGATTCGAACCCAGTACCTTCGGTATTATGCGCGAACACCTAAGCTCTGGTCCACTGAGCCAGTATCTAACGGTGTTAATGCCTAACTTGATCAATTCACGGAGTTGCACAACCTCATACACAGTCTTCGGTAGTTACTGTCTACACCCGAACAGGTTGAACTTCACTTCGTGTGCTTTTACGGGTAGAAGGGTTGGTCATGGAGATGACAGAATCATGAAGAGGTTTAGGAAGGATTTGATTGTGACCGATTTAGTTTATCCGTTCTTTGCGTTCTCGCAAATCGTAATATTCTGAATCACTCATCGCATTTATCTTTCGCTTTTGAAATTTATTTCACTAGATTGTAATTCTTGTATAGTATTGTCGAACCCTAATGTCTTCGATTACTGTTAATACTTCTACTATCTCTACTACTATGGGATTTGCATTGACAAATGCATCTATCTGTTCTCATGTAGTATGACAGCCTCGAACTGATGTACGTACGTACGAAATTCTATGTTGTAACTGACTGAAATCGTTCATTTCTCTGTTCAATAAAGTATTCTTTCATAAAAACACTTGCTTTCTGATTGGCTAACAATTAACCTCCCGATATTATCAAGGTCATTCTGAAAGAAACCGCTCTAGGCCAATAGCATTCACTCAATCCTAATTTAAGATGATGAAATAATAAGAACTGATTTTGAATTTTTTTTCATGAGATCTACAGGTTCAGATAAAAATAGCTTGTTAAGAAATTTTATGAAAAAATACGTGCTAGAATGTATACGGTTTATAAGAAAAAGAATACTTACATGATTTCGTTGAGGTTGAGGTGTAGCATAAATAATACTCAAATTATTATTAACAGTAGTAGCAGTAGTAGTATTTACAGCATGATTATTAACAGTGACATCAAGAGATGGCGATGAAGTGGGAACAGCACCAATTATGGTAGCATTGGATGGTCGATCAGTTGATTTGACATGAAAATCTATGTGTGTATGTGAGAAGGAGAGAATGTGTGTAAATAATTGCATAGAAGGTGAATACTCAAGAAAAAAGGATTACGTAATATGTTCGACTTTCAAATGTCTTTATTAGTCAACTAAACTTGTTGTCAGATGTTGTTTAAGAACTAACATTGACATGAATTATTTCCTACAGTCAAAATGATTTTCAGTATGCAACATCAAATATTCGGAGAATCAGTATATTTTCACAGACAAACGATGACACCTGAATATGCTTCTTCTTAGAAAAGAGTTGACGGCGTATATAGAATAAACCTAGAGAGCATAGTGAAATCTATTTATTCTAGTATAGGACTCATCAACAGGGCACATTCACAACCTCACCAGGGGATCAGTATAGAACCAACAGGCCTAGTAAAGAACCGCTATCTGTTAAAACAGCCAAAATCACAAACGAAAACTGTTCCACTCCTCACGTATCTGATCTCCAACAGTCATGATTTCACATCAGAACTTCGTAAAGATTAATTAAGTAAGTTACTAAAGAGTTGACTATCGTTGTTTGGCAGCAGGGATTAAAGGTTCACCGTAACAAAAAAAATAAACCCGACCGTAGCTGCTACCTTGACATGGTGGTCGGGCTTGACTATCGTGATGACCCAACCGAGCTATACTGGCTCGAACAAATGTTCCTACTGGTCCTACCATGCCAGCCAGAGAGGTCGATTGGAGAACGATGAGACCAAAAGCAGCTACTCCAGGCCTGAGGGCGAAGTCGTACTGCTGACTGTAGAGGGGTGTGACAGCAGTAAGGTGTTTCCCTCGGACAACCAGCATCTGCAGCGATACTGCCTTCTCACAAGGAAGGACGGAATGGGTTAGAAAAGGTCGACCCTAAAAATGTCACACCTCACGGATTTCCGTCTCCGGAGGTAAGGGTGCCCACTAAGGGCTTTTAAGAACGGAGCTAATCCTCAAAATACCTTTCATAAAAATGCCGTGCGTGACCGTCCTCAAGCAGTTGTCCCTTGGACTCTCTGGTCACGCAACCAGGTCTCTAAGACCAACACTAATCTACCTTACTTTTCAGGTTACTCAAGAAACAACCTTCCACGTTGTGGGCAGCCGGGAAATGACAACCGCCCTCATACCCATAACAGCACACGAGACCAAATTGGTCAAAATCAAATCCTTCCTATACCCCCTAATGTCTCTCTTATCTCTACGACTAACTCTACTCACATTCCCTTATCTGACTGCACCGCTAATGCAAACGATGCGAGTTCACGAAACGTCATTCCTGGTCTCTTGAAACCTCGTTCTAGTCTACATGTTTTGTGCGGCCAAATCAAAACATGGCACAAATCCATGAAGTCATTGACGAGTGGACTTAGCCATGTCGGTAATTGTCGACTACCTGGTTGGGGTCCGCGAGATGATAATAATCGATGGTTTGAGACCTTGAATGACATGGCTCAAAGTCGTTCGCAATGGCGCCGGTGCATCCACTCTTTGTGTTCTCTCAAATCCTAATCTTCTGGGTTCTTCAACAACTCTAGTTTTGACTTTCTAAACTTTTCTCATTAAATCATACTTGTTGAATAATATCTTGTAATCCTAACCTCTCCGATTACTTCTAATACCTTTACTACCTCTTCTACTATTGGATTTGCATTGAAAATTATATCTCTGTGCTGATGTGGTATGGCAACATGAACTGATGATGTACGTACGTACGTACGAAGTTCTAGGTTGCATCTGTCTGACTGACTGACTGTAAAAATAACAGATACTCTGTTCGATCAATGACAGGATTATAAGACTGAGCACTCTAATGCAACAATGGTTCAATACACCGTGGATTTCCAAGTAGTAGTAACCCATTGGACAATTAATCTGTGACAAATTAAACCTGTCAATAAAATTGATCAATCCACAACCCCACACACAAACCAGAATCTTTTACAACAACAGAAAACAAAAAACAAACTAGAATAATAGACAATTCCATTCAATAATAAATATTCACAACACAAAACTGAACACAAACGACGTGTATACGCGCCTAAAACTCAAAACTCAGAACTCAAAGTAAAAATAAAAATGAAGAGTTTTTATTTCCGGTTAGATTAAAAATAGAATAAAATAAAATAAAATAAAAGAGGATTTTTCTTGAGATTTAATTTTTTTTCCTTTTGATGAATGATTCATTATTCTTTTTTTAGTTAAGAAATAAAAAGAACATCTCTCAATAAATTAAACGATAAACCATAAAACTGACAAGAAGAAGATTAAAAAACTAAAAGAGTTTGTCGACTGTGTGAGCTGGTTGTTCTTGCAAACAACGTGTGCACTTATTGTCGGTGTGTATGCGCGCCAGTGTGTGTGTGTGTGTGTGTGTACAAGCGTCTACCAACAGAGAGAACTGAACGAAGTGTAAGCAGCATATGATTCGTATTAGTAGTATTAGTAGTAGTATAAAATAAAATAACACATTATATTGAATAGAAAATTGAAGATTTCTGAGGAAAGCATTTTTGTCTAGTGTATGTGTAGGTAGATGTGTTGTCTAGGATTGATTATCCAACACGCAAAAGAATCAACCAACCAACTAACTAAACAAACCAAAACGATACTACTTATTATCCCAGTTATTGTTAGTGTGTTATCTTCTATAATTCAATAAACGGATAAACAGATGGGATAACCGCATAAGATTTGAAACTTTATAAAAAAAATAATCAGTGGTAAAGTATTAAAAAATTGAAAAGAGGAGTAATAGAGAGAGAGAGAGAGAGAAAAAAACCAAGGAGGAAAATTGAATTGATAAGTAAGCAAAGGAGAAAATAATCCAATAATGAAATACGACAAAAGGTAATGTGTAGTTTAGTTTAGTTTAATAAGGATCTACTTGCGCAGTCGTCAATGTTTTCTTCAGTCAGTCTGTCAGCAACAATGTAGAACTTCGTACGTACGTAGGTACGTACATTTTAGTTTAAGTTGCCATACTCGGATAGCACAGAGAGATGTCATGAACGATCTAAATCAAACAGGAGTAGAGGTAGTATAAGTATGAGCAGTAATCAAAAAGACTAAAGTACGAAAATAATATCCAAGAAGTGTAATTCAGTGAAATAAATTTGAGAGGATGAAGTTCATGAGAAACTCAAATTTAGGAATGCATCTGCGCTATTAAAAACCATTTCGACCCTCGTCGTTCATGGTCTCTAACCATTGGTGACTTTCGTCTCGCGGACCCCAACCAGGTAGTCTAGATCTACCAACATGACTTAGTCCACTTGTCAGTTACTTCATGCATTTCTTCCATGTTTTGGTTTGGCCGCTCCTAACTTTCTTCCAACCTAATCCTACACCACAAAACATCGTTCCTCGGGACAGTCAGTACTTGGGCATACGTAACCCATGTCACAACAGCTTCAACTGATGGAGTTTCAATAATTCATCCTCACCTACGACCCGTTTCCTAACAACTGCATCGCTTACTCGATTGTCTTGAATAAATCAAATTCAGAATCAACTCGATGTAGAAAATGTTTCATTGATATTGGTTTTATTTTGTGCGGATCGAACATGAAAACTCTGTGATTAAGCTCTTTAGTTAGTTAAGGAGAACAAACCATCATCAAAACGATGTACATAGAGATCAGTAGTTGTTATGTTTATGAAGATTTTCCAATCAACAATAAATGCCAATAACTGTAGTCGATAGTAAGGATAACTGTGTAATGTGCGTACTAATATGTCGGACCTATAGAGCTTGTTCCAATGTTTGGACCAAATTAATTAATCCATCGTTCTAGACAGGAACGACGTTTCGTGAACTTGCATCGTTTGTATTAGCGGTGCAGTGAGCTGAAGGAATGCGACTTCCCGGCTGCCCACACCGTGGAAGGTTGTTTCTTGAGGAACCTGAAAAAGTAGGTAGATTAGTGTTGGTCTTATAGACCTGCGTGAGTGACTGCAGAGTCCAAGGGACAACTACTTGAGGCCGGTCACGCAAGGCCTTTTTATGAAAGGTAATTAGAGTATTAGCTCCGCTCTTAAAACCCCTTAGTGGGCACCCTCACCACCAGAGACGGAAATCCATGAGGTAGGGTGAGGTGTGACATTTTTAGGGTCGACCTTTTCTAACCCTTCCTTCCTTGTGAGAAGGCAGCATCGCTGCAGATGATGGTTGTCCGAGGGAAACACCTTACTGCTGTCACACCCCTCCATCACAGTCAGCTGTACGACTTCGCCCTCAGACCTTGAGTAGCTGCTTTTAGTGTCTCATCGTTCTCCAATCGACCTGCCTGGCATGGTAGTACCTTCAGGAACATATGTTCCAGCCAATGCAGCTCGGTTGGGTCATCACGATAGGCAAGCCCGACCATCACGTCAAGGTAGCAGCTACGGTCGAATTCCTTCTAGAATTAATATGCACATGTCTTTCAACCTTATCAACTACTCGCTGATAACTTTGGTTATTTTCACTTGAGCGTGTGTGTGTGTGCATATTTACTTTGCACATTACATGCCTAGTCTATTTTTGCTTGACTATATATAAATACTGAGTCATTACAAATCTCATTGGAATTGGCTCACTCGCCTTTTCTGATTCACTTCCTCGCTAGTCAACCTCATGTATGTTTGTGTGAACGATTGCCTGAAATAAACTCATCCAACTGAATCTGTATTTGACTTCTGATTACTGCCATCGCAAAAATGGGGTTCACTTAAGTATGATATACGGAAATTGAAGTGAAGATTTATTTCATCGCATAATAGTTCATTCGGACAAATTGGAGTGAGATCACGAGAGACAAAAGTGATGAGCCTTATTTACGAATTCAAAGCAGCTGCTAAAAATGGGTAAATGATATTATGCTCTATGTGTAACTTAGAGGTTCTTCAATTCTACTATATACATATTTGTGTACATGATTTTGAGCTACACTAAGTATGTTACGGGCTCATGAAGCTAAAATCTAGCCAAACTCAAGCAAGTGGAGCAACATTC